GGCCCTGCCGGCCGCGATAGCATCGCCGCCGCGGGGGGCCCCTCTTGCAGCGGGGGGCTGACCCGGGGGCCGGGGCTGGGCCGGGGGTGTCCGCGTCTGAGGGAACCTGTGGTCCGTGTGGACAGGCGGGCCTGGCGGGGAGGGTGGCCAGGCTCCAGCTGCACACGCAGGGCGGGCCGCACCCTGCCACTGCAGGCCCGCGGCCGCTGCCCGGCCGGCTCTGGGAGGTCAGCGGTGGGGCAGCCTGCGGGCCGGGGCTCTTGGCCCTGCCGGCCCAGCCCCTTTGGGTAGCCGGTGCTTGGGAGACACCGGGTCTGGGGCCTCCCTCAGGTCTTGGGGACACCCCTGAGGCCCCCTGGGGCCTCCCAGGGGCACGAGCAGCGTCCAGTCACTGCCAGCAGCTGGGGGGGGTCCCTGCCGCTGGTGCACGGGCGGGAGGGGCCGCACGCAGCTGCCACCCCGCTGCCAGCAACAGGCTGCAGCCCGGTGGCCAGCAGGAGCCGGGCCAGGCAGAACTGGCCTCTCTGGGCGGCAGGAGGGTGGACCCTCATGCCCCCAGGGCTGAGGCGCTGTGTGGGGCACCCCGAGGAGCGGCCGGGAAGAAGGAAGGGTGCCCGGGGCAGACAGGCTGCAGACTCTGCCCGCACACGGCCCCTCACGGCCAACGCCGTGGCCACGGGCACAGCTCGTGGGAGCCACCTTCGTGGCCGTGCGCCCCCAGAACCCACACCAGGAGCCGCGGCGGAGATGCCAGCCCGGCTCCGGGCCAGACCCCCTGCGTCCACCAGAAGGGCCAGCAGGGCTGGTGCTGGACAGAGGGCCCCCGCAGGACTCTGGCGTCCTCCGCCAGCCTGCCTGACCTCAGCCTCCACGCCGCCCCATGGGGTCAGCTGCCGCAGGGCCCGCGTCTCACGCTCGACCTGCCTGGGGGCCCCGCTGGCGGCTGGAGGCCCTGGCTGCCTGGGGGCAGCCCCCACCTGCGCCTGCGGGCCCGGGGCCCACGCCGGCCCCGGACAGCCTGACTTTCCTGGCAGCTGGGCTGTGCCTGCACCCGCGTGCTGACCTGGCGGGCCGCGCCACCTGCCGCCTGCCCTGCTCTGTGCTGGGCGCTGGGGCCTCCTCGCCGGACAACGAGGCCGTGACAGCTCCTGGGCTCGTGATGGTCAGCGACCTCCTCCACGCGCTTGGGCTCCCCAAGGCCGCTGGGTGACAGTGGGCACCCTCCAGCCCTCAGGGGGCTGGCCGTGGACGCCCTGGGCGGCCCCCCGGAGACAGACTACGTGGCGGACACGGGCTGGCGCTGGGCCTGGAGAGCCCCTGGTGGGTGGCCGGGGCGGGGACGCGGCAAACAGCTGTTTGGCAGGCGGCAGGCCGCTGCCCCGGGCACTGGGGGTGCCGCGTCTGGCTGCGGGGTGTGTGCACGGAGGTGGGGGCAGCATCCTCATGGCCGAGGAGTCACCTCGTGGGTGAACTGACCCGTGGGCCCCTGCCCGTCTGGTGTCCCGGGGCTTGGCGCCATCCTTGAGGGTCTCGGGGCTCCGGCCGGCTGGTGGTGGCGCAGGGGAGGCCACATCTGGCTGTCCCAGGATCCCCGGGGCTGGCCTGAGGGGCGCCGGCCGGCTCCCGAAGCCCCTGACCTCGCAGCCGCCTGGCTCCCACCCCACAGCCACCTCCCCGGGCCTGGCCCCTGCGCCTAGGGCAGGATCCCGCAGTGCCCAGCCCAGACCCCTAATCTGAGGTGGGCAGGCGGGTGTGGCCCGCGGGTGTGGCGGGGCAGCAGCAGGGCGCCAAGGCGCAGTCAGCAGCCGCTTGCTCGGCGGACAGTGGCGGTAAGGGCGGCGGAGGCCGGGCGGGGGCTCCCGGCCCGTCCCAGCCGGACCTGCTGCTCCGCCGCCAGCGGGGAGCGGAGCGCGGGGAGCTCGCGGGTCAGGCCTGGGCCTGGACAGGCTCCCGGCGTCTGTGGCCCGCAGGCCGCATCCTGGCCTCCTGCATA